TGGTTGCTGTTTATGGAGTACTGACTTTAGTTTACAGTTGTCATGGATAGAATTGTGTTCCCCCCAAATATGTGTCAACTTGGCTAGGCCAATGGTTGTCCTCCATTCTGAGATCTGTTGTAATTATCCTCCATTTTGTGATGTGTTATAAATCCTAACATCTAGGTGTTAATGAGGAGCTCTGGTGGCATAGTGCCTAAGGCATTTGACTGCTAACCAGAAGGCTGGCAGTTCAAACCCACCAGCCACTCCTCGGCAATCTACTTCCATACCTCGGATACTCAAGGAGGGGTCACCGAAGGCAGTGAGTTTGGTTTGGTTTTTGTTTAGGTGTTGAGACAAGATTAGAGAGGGTTGTATTATCTTGAGTCACAATCTTACAAGAGGGCCTGAATGAAGTTCCACCCTTACTCATCACCTCCCTTATTTAAGTCACACCCTTACTCGAGTCACACCCTTGCTTGAGTCATTCTCTTTTATTTTACAGGATAAAAGGCGAGAAGCTGGTAGAGAGGAGACCTGACCACCACCAAGAAAGAAGAAACAGGGGTGGAGGACATCCTTTGAACACAGGGTCCCTGCACTGAGAGCTCCCTAGACCCGGGGGAAGATTGAACACTGGGCCCACAGATGTTGGAAGGAGACAAGGACCTTCCCCCAGAGGGAAAGCCTTTCCCTAAAGCTGGTGCTCTGGATTCAGACTTCTAGCCTCTGAAGTATGTGAGAATAAATCTGTTTATTAAAGCCATCCACTTGTGTTATGTGTATTATAGCAGCATAACTGAGACAGTGGTGTTGGAAAAATTGCATTGATTAAGGTTTGACTGATCACAGCTCATTAATGTAATTGCTGTAGGTAAACTGTTGTTGTTGTTGTTGTTGTTATGTGCCGTTGAGTCGGCCCCGACTCATAGCGACCCCTCCTTGGGTTTCCGAGGCAGTATCACTACAGAAGTAGGATTGCCCAACCTTCCTTCCGAGGAGTGGCTGGTGGGTTTGAACCGCCAGCCGTCTGGTTAGCAGGCAAGTGTCTTAGCCACTGTACACTTGTGAAAAGTTGAATTGTCAATGATGTGATGATATATTTACAAGGTCCCCCCTTATTCCAAAAAAGGAGTAGCTGCTCATGGGATTTGGTTTCTTGGTTTGGAGTTTCAGGGTCATGGTTTCTTGGGAAATTCCAGTTAATTGGCTCAACAACTCTGATCTTTTTCCTTGTAAACTATGTCAAGCAGTTTCTAAAACAGCCTCCCACCATTGGTAGGATGATTTCATCTCTTTGAGCAAGATGTGCAAGGACTCTCCAGCCAAATCCAAAGTGCAGGATGCCCAATTACATTTTAATTTTGGATAAATGCAAATAATATTTTATTATGGGACATATGTATACTAAATCACTAATCATTGGTTAACTGGGCCTTCTTGTATTTCAAGACGGTGTATTTTACCACCCTGAATGGTAAAACAGTTAACACATGTAGCTGCTAATCTAAAGGGTGGAGGTTGGCATCCACACAAAGGCACCTCAAAGGAAAGCCCTGGCTATGGATCTGCTTCAGAAAAATCAGGTATTGAAAACCCTATGAAGCAAAGTCCTGCTCTGATACATATGGGTTTGCCATGCGTTGGAGTTGAGTTGATAGCAACATTTTTTCCCCCTTGTATTTTATATGGCAACTCTACTTGTTGTTGTTATGTGCCGTCAAGTCGGACCCAACTCATAGCGACCCCTCCTTGGGTTTCCAAGGCAGTATCACTACAGAAGAAGATTGCCCCATCTTCAAGGGGTGAAATAATATCCTTACAAAGAGGTTTTTTCTTAAGTTTTTTTTTTTTTTTTTATTGTGCTTTAGGTGCAAATTTACAGAGCAGAATTTGTTTTACATTCAACATTTTATGTACATTTGGTTTCACTCCCCAATTACCATCCCCAAACCTAATCGACTCTCCTCCTCTCCCTTCCCGGTAACCCCCTGCCCTGTGCCCCTCATAGCTATGCACTCCTGTGTCCTGCATTTCCTCCATGTGAATGTTGTCTCTCTGGTGCCCTGTGGTCGACTACTCCAAGGGATGCATCTCCATAGAGTATGTGGGTGCACTGCCCTGGGTTGAGTGGTCTGTGGTATGTCTCATTTACTATTGGGCTGAGAGCCAGCCCCTGGGAGTGAGTTTTATTCCAGTGCCGAAGTATATCCCAGGGCTGTAGTATTGGGGGTCCCACCAGACTCCATCTGACCAGCAATTCTGGTCTTTATTGTGTTTTTGGATTTTGTTCCACGTTTTTCTTCCCACTCTGTCCAGGATCTCCAGTTATGATCCCTTCCTGAGTGGTTGGCATTGGTAGCCAGGCACCATCTAGTTCTTCTGATCTCGAGCTCTATCATGTCCTAGGGCTGATTGTTTCCAAATGCTCTTGGTTTTTTGCACCCATCTTCACTTCTAACGATTGAAGACCATTAACTGCATCTTAGATGGTCACTTGAAAGATTTTAAGACCCCAGTCACCACTCACCAATGTAGGCTGTGGGACAAGATTTTTATGTATTTTGTAGTGCCAATCGAGTCTGGAGTCCTCCAATGCTATGGTTCTGAGTTGGCAGATCTGATGGAGCTCTCTCCCACGGTCTGGCTGTCTGTGAGGGACTGCTCTATGCCTGTCTTCTGTTATTTCTGTAAGGATTGAAGGTATTTTGTATCACTGGTATCTGTGCAAGATTAGCCTCAGCTGAATCTGTCCTTAGTCTAGAGTATAATCCTGTCCACTGACAAACTTACAAAGAGTTTGGCTGGGCCTGTCTGTAAGCAGATCTAGCTGAACCGATCCAACCAATACTTGCCTTCTGGGCGCACTCCCCTCCTTCAACAACTTCCTTGTAGAATATGATGGAGCAATGAAAAATATGCAAAAATGTTGCTGTAAAACACACTCTATTTAAACATTTTATGAGAATACGCTATGAGTGAGAATGGACTCTTGCAAACAACAATATAATGATACACATACAAATATAATCTCCTGAAGTACAATGTAAAAAACTAATATAAACCAGTCTTTCAAAAACAAACAAAAGCATTTAGAAAATGTGATTGGATTATGTACAAGAGACAAGTTAGATATTCCAATCCTGACCAAGGAGGAAGAGTAAGATCAAATTTTGTTTGTTCTGCTTATTTACATTTTCACATGGTAGTGATAGTCCTTTTGTGTATTTGTCAAAACATAACTTAAGTCTGTAATGAAAAAACAACAGTTAAGAAGAAGAGAATAAAAAAAGCAAAACAAAACAAAACAAAACAAAAAAAACCCATTAGGTCATGGAAAAAATTGTGACCTCCATCCTGGCCACAAATCTTGGATGCCTAAAAACATTTGCTTTTTACCTATACATTGTTAGAGGGAGCATGTTGTAGAAATCCTTTGCATAACACAATTCTACAGTATTTTTAAAATATGCTATAAAGCGAATTTTAAAGCTTCATTTTCCTGGCAAAATATCCTGAATGTCACAAAATTACAGTCTTGAAAAATTTTGAAAATTATTTTGTTGTAACAGATCTTTATATAAATTACTACTGATATGCATATATATTTTGAATTTTTAAATACATTTGTTTTCCCCTGGGAACAGTAAAAATACAGGAACCAAAACACCCAAATAATTTTTGAGAAAAGAATGGCAAGGGTGTTGTGCAAAATCAGGTCAATTATTTGAGGGTCTAATAAAAAGACATTTAGTGAGGAGCCTTGGTGGCACACTGGTAAGCACTCTGCTGCTAAACTAAAGGGTGGCAGGCTAATCCACTCAGCAACCCCAGGAAAGAAAGACCCGGCCATCTGCTTTCATACAGATTACAGCCAAGACCCTATGGGGCAATTCTACTGTCACTTGGGATCACTATGAGTCGGAATCGACTCGACAGCAAACAGCAACTCAGGTAGTAAATCATGACCAGCCAGTTAAGGACTTTGAAACATCAGAATAAAATTATAATGTCACACTCATAATTACAGGAATTATATGGTCCTTTGATATTTTTGGCATTGTAGCTAAAAGAATTGTAAAACCCAGTTTAATTTTACAAACATACTTGGCACCTGTGGTAGGTACTGAGGATATACAGCAATGAATGAAACAGACATGGTTCCTATCACAGTGATGATTATAGATGAGCGATCAATTTAGTTGCACTAAATTCTAGCAGTTTAGAAGATAATGTATCTGGAGTGTTTCTTTATAGCATGTTATTACCATAAAAGGTAAAATTATTATATATTTATGAATTTTTCCCTGGATTATTCAACTGTATTTGAAGTATTCAATATTTCTATACATGTTGAGAGGCAAAGGAAAGGTATATTACAGTGCTATTTTTAAGGTTGTGCAACACACACTCATATTTATAGAAATACACAGTGTGTGTTCTTACCATGTCGGTATTGGAAAATCCAATCAATCTCACACAGATTAAAGGGATTCCACTTTAAAGGAAATAAACCAACAAAACTGACAGCTCAGACTGATGTAGGTATCTTTGAATATCTGAGTTGCTGATAATCTGAGAGGTGTAGTCAAGTATAGAGTACAGTCTAACAATGCGCAGTGTTAATATGGTATGCAAAGAGGCCTAATCAGTTTCATGAGTTGTTCTACTGGATGGATGGTGAACTGGATACTCAGTTAATTTGGTTGAAATATGTAGAAGCCAGATTTACTATCTGTTAACTTGCTTTGCAAATAGTGTTTGGCCATAACTCACTGAAAGGCACTTAAGAAACCGCATCATCACTATATCCTCTGTAAATCATGGAGCATTTCTCAAATATACCCTTGGAAACAGAGACAGTGATCCTTTGCTTAGGATTGAATGACAAAAATCTGGAGTCCAATATTTATGTATCTCTTTATATCTGTTGGGGTCATGTAAGTCAGGTACATTGAAAACATGACACCAGGAGTTGCTAAACTATGGGCCACATTGTGGTTGATGGCTATTTAGGATTAAGACTGCTGTACAGTGCTGTGCTTGGTGACTCTGGTGGAAGATGTGGTTATGGTCGAATTAGAATGAGCAGACGCCTCTAAACCAAAATTTGGCAAATGCCCAGTGACATGAGCTCCAGAAACCATGGTCTTCCTAGCCATCGTAGATGTTTCAGCAGGAACTTGGTAACTGGGTTACAGAGTGGAAGTAGATGTTAGCACTCTTTCTGTGACTGTCACATTCTGCCCCACTTCTACACTAGGCATGGCCAAAGGAGGCTGTACACCAGAGCCAGGGGCCAGGATCCTCTCTCTTTCCCTCACCATGACATAATGTGCATCTGGCAGATGCTGAGGGACCTCGAGAGGATTCAGTAGGCCCTCATTAGGCTGTATTACTTGTTCAGTGACCAAGACATTACTTTTATTAGCATAATGCTGCTCTACCAAAGTAGATGCTGGAGCATACAACCTCTCTGTCACAATCAGACCTTGTGGTTGTCTAGAACCCAAGATCACAGTGCTAGGTTGCATGGTGGAGCCTGTGGCATAGGATGTTTCTGTCACTATTATATTACTGGGAACCAATGGATCAGGAAGAGATGTAGCCACCTTCTGACCCAGCCTAGAAGACATGGACCTTTCAGTGACTACTTCCTGAGTTGCTTTCTCTGCACTCACTTCATGCAAAGGTTTTGGAACTTGAGAGCTATTGCCAGAGGAGTAGGTATTTTCCAAATTAACCATAGTCTGCTCATAGTGTGAATGTGAAGATGTGCTCATACTTGTTTCTGTGACAGGTTTTTGCCCCTGCTCCATTTCCATAGCCATGTCTATTTTCTGACCTATGCAAACTTCTGCTAGTGTCTTGAATTTAAATCCCAAATCATCTAAGGAGAGGTCATCTAGCTCTCCTTCAATAAAACTGCAACAGCCAATAGAACCATGGAGAGAGTCAGTTACTTCCTGAGAATAAACCAGAAGGCAATCTTTGGCTGTGTGAACGTCATCATCTTCAGTGTATGAGGCTGCTTTCTGAAATGCACATAGAAACAGAGACACATAATTAGTGACACAAGTTCAAGTAAAAACAAGACTCCCTATATCTGCCCCAAATGCATAAGCTGAGTCTAATCATGAGGAAACACAGAGGAACACAAATTGAGGGACATCCTACAACATGACTGGTCTGAATTCTTAAAAAATATTATGCTAGTCTATGACTAGCATGATGACATCAGGGAAAGGAAGGACAATGAAAAGTACACGTAAGATATAGACAAAAAAAAAAGAAAAAAAATTAATATCAAGAAAGATGAAGAAAGAGGGGAGTGTTTCAGATTAAAGGAGACTAAAGTGTAAAGACAACTACATGGAATGCAAGATCGTGAACCGGGATATACATAAAAAAGATATTATTGGGTCATTAGCTAAATTGAAACATAGGTTGTGTCAATGTTACATTTCTTTCTTCCTTTTTCTTTTTGATTCCAATTCATAGGTGACCACATGTATCAGAATAAAACTGTGCCCCATAGGGTTTTCTTTTATATATATATATATTTTTATTTAGGTGAAAGTTTACAGAGCAAATTCATTTTCCATATAGCAGTTCCCACCAGCCACTCCTCGGAAAGAAGGTTGGGCAATCTGTTTCTGTAGTGATACTGCCTCGGAAACCCAAGGAGGGGCTGCTATGAGTCGGGGCCAACTCGATGGCACGTGACAACAACAACAACATATAGCAGTTCACACACATTTTTGTCTCCTGACATTAACTGCAATTCCCCACAAGGTAACAGTTCTCTTCACACTTCCTCCCCATAGTCACTTCTTTCCTGTGGCCTTCTCTCCCATGCACTCCCACTCCCAAGCTATCTCCCTATTCAAAAACTGCCCCTCTGTTCAAATATGGAATGCTTCATGAATTTGCATGTCTTCCTTGCTCAGGGGCCATGCTAATCTTCTCTGTATCATTCCAATTTTAGTGTATGTGCTGTGGAAGCAAGCACTGATGTTAAATTTCTGAATCTGTTAACTGTACTGTAGTAAAGTAAGAGAATGGGAGTGTGTGTGTGTGAGAGAGTGAGAGGGAAAGAGAATGGAAAGCACATAACAAATGTGGCAAATTGTTAATGATCGGTTAATCTGGGCACTATGCCACCAGGGCTCCCAAAAGATATACAGGAGTTCAAAACTGCTATTATTCTTGAAACTTTTAGGATAAGTTTGAAATTATTTTCAAGCCAGAATTTAACACACAGACACATACACTCAACCAAGACATCCTTGTGCAGGGTGAGAGTAGAGAGGGAAAACATGCAACATAGCAATCTGCTCTTGGAACAGGACAGAGAGGAATAGCAAAACTATGAATGTAAGGGAGAATTAAACCTTTGTGAGAACTAAGGTTTTTGGGTCATTTATTGTCACAACATAATTTAGCTAGTACTGACTTATATAATGGGTTAAATCTTTTACTTCATTAACTACCACCACCATAACAACAACAACAAAAAACAGTTGCCACAGGGTCAATTCCAACTCAGGGCTTACCCCATTACCTTCTCTTAAAAAAACAAACAAACAAAAAAGTCCCATTCAGATCCAAGGCAATAATTACTCTAATAATAAAACCACATTCATATATAAAAGTTTTCTCCTCACACATAAAAACAATTCTTACTTCAGTGAAATAGTTTCTTAGAAACTCGTCATTCACTGCACCAGCAGCAACTCGAGCTCCAGCTATGTCTCTGGTAACCCCTGTGGCTCTTGTGGTCCTTGTGGTCTCAGTGCCTGTGACAACTCCTGTTGTGCCTGTGACTTGGGTAGCCCCACGAGAAAGAAGGCTTCTGTGTTCTGCCCATCCGGCATCCACCTCAGACATCTCATGCAGCCCTTTGGTAAAGGAAGCAGAGCTACTTCCTTTCACAGTGACTTCCTTGGTTAATGCACCTCCTATTCCATTTCCCACTGCTAGACTGTCCCTATGATCTGTTGCCAGAAGTGGTGGCATCGCCTGTGAGAGAAAATACATTTGAGAAGAGAGTCAGAAGGATGGAGAAGTACAATTGGTAAAAGGATATAAGCTAAATGGGTACAAGAAGGGAATAGGCTATTCCTACAAGGTCAAATAATAAATAAATACAAATATATATATGTACACACACTTGGGGTTGAGTAACTTCTACCTCATTCATCTGAAGAGCTCCATTGTGCTGTCTTGTTCTATAGCTAATTATAACCCAAGGAGACAAACAAACAAGAGCACTCAAATATGGCCTCAGGTCATTTATAATAATAAACAATAACTCAGTTATTGAGACCAAGGGCATCTCCAACACTACGAGGCATCCCATATGACTAAGTTCTGGTCAATGTGATATAAGTAGATACTGGTCTGAGAAGTGTTCTTAAGTTACTGTTCTTCACTTTTCTCCTACTGCTGGCAGGAACGTGAGGGTAGTGGTTGGAGCATGAGGACAGCATGGGAATGGGCTTATTCATGAAGGAGCAACAAGAAAGGAGGAGCCTGAGGCCATGTTTTGGAGGAATCATCATATTGGTCCTGGACTGCCCAAGTTCATGTTTAAGCCACTGTGATTTTGAGTTCTCTGACACTTGATGCCAAATTCACATCCTACTGGAAATTGGGCTCATGCAAATGGCAATGAGACACTCAAGGTGCAGATGCCAATAGAGAGACTATCAGAGATAGTAGGCGAAAGGAGAGGGTTTTGCAACATTTTACAAATGCCATGGTGGTTGTGGGGCTTGCCTCTGCCAAGCCTACATATGGTGGGGGATGGAAAAGGAGCTGTACCTGGTTGTACAACATTCTCCATTTAATATCTGGACAAAAATTTCTATCCTAAATCCTTATACACTCCAGTGAATTTGCCACTCCCTAACCCTTGCTCTACATTTCTTGTCAACATAGGACTTGTCACAGCAAAAACATTCTTAACTCTGACCTGGCAACAGAAATAAAATATGATGTTGATTGAACTCATTGTTTAACAAAGGCATGTGAATAAAATCCATGACGACCTCTTCACACTCTCATCGCCTAAAATCTTAGAAACATTTCCCACGTCCCCAATAAATTCCCAAAGGAAGACCCATCACATTGATATCTAAGATGACCTTGTCCTCAGGTGGTGCTCCTTCATTATTCCAAGGGTGCAGCATCTCGATAGTCCCAGGTATGGGAGCAAAGCCCTTGGTTCCCTCTCCACAATGGCACATCAGCAGTAAAAGTGGCACCACTGGGGAGAAAACAAAATCGAGTTCAGAGAAAGTTAGTCCTGACATATTTCTAAATTTATATTGCATAATTCTGGAATTAGATGGTAGCCAAGTCATCAAAAATAACCTAAAGACTTTATCAATTATTTTGTTTTATGAAAGCATTTAATTTCTAATATGAGACAAACCATTGTCAAGGAACATATGTATGAAAAGATTAAAAGTTCCAAAGGTAGGGAAATTTTAATATTTTCATATATTCCAGAACACTAGATCTTTGATGATACTTCACCCTAGAATGGAATTGAGCACAAGGCAGGGCTCTCTTAGGTCTCAATTAACTTTTGAATGATCTAAGTAGTATTTCCTGAAATGATGCTATATTAAAAAAAAAACCTTGGAACATATATACCATTTTATTTAGAATTCGATAAAATTTCAGAGCTTCTTCCTTCAGTTTCATACCACCTCTGGAGGAAGGGAAAACCAGTGCTTCCCTTGATCAGTGCAGTAAAGAACTGCCCACACTTAGCACAACTTGAAGAATGTAATCAAGACGAATGAATTGTACATGTGGAAACTGGTCAGTTGTTTTATGTTTTACAGCATAAATTTTCACCAAAAAATAAGCCACATCTAATGCAGTCCACCTCAAACTAGCTCTTACCGCCACTCCCATTTGGCAGCTCCCAAGGAGGAACTGTCTCCCTCTAGATTCCTTTTAATGTAAAATACTTGGCAGCATAGTAGCTATACCTACTGTGAGTAATAAAAGGGGAGAAGTCAGCCATGGTAATGCATTTCAACAAATACTTACCAAGCATCTGCTATGTGCCAAGTGTCACATCAGGCCCTGGGGAGTCTGACATGAGAAGGCAAAGAAGCTGTGGGTAGGAGATCTACTTTAGGCTTCCATACCCACTGCCTCAAGTCAATTCCGACTCATAGTGACCTCCATTGGGTTTCTGAGGCTGTAAATCTTTACTGAAGTAGATTGCCTTCCTTCCACAGAGCAGCAGGAGGGTTTGAACTGCCAACCTTCTGGTTAGCAGCCAAACATCTTACCTATCCACTATGCTATGGGAGTTCCTTAGTCTAGGCTTCAGTACCTACTAACTTGATAAGCTGGGACAACTCATTTACCATTATGTGTCTGTTTCTTTATCCATAAAATGGAGATAATGGTATCAAAATACATTATAAACTGTCAAGAGTTATGCATTCAACTGAACATCTGCTACCGGTTTTATGAGGCTCCTTCTCTGTCCCTGAAATAGCCTAGGCTGCCTCAGAGATGGTCCTCTGTCCACATTCAGTTATCAAGTGGAGCGATACTCCACACAATCCAAGGTTATAATTCCTTGTTCTTTCATGAAAGGAAACCTGAGGTCTTTGGAGGGCATACAGGAAGGCAGGACATCTAGGAATATCTTGTCAATGTCAGAAAGCATAGAGGTGCTCGGAGGGCATGGCTATTGTTGTTGCTGGTGAAGAAGCAAGCCAAGCAGAGGGTATGGGGTAGCTGAGTTGGGCCAAATTGAGTGTTCAAAGTAATAACAGACTGGAAGAAGCTGAGTTTATGAAAGAATCTTGTCTCCAGGCTCTAAATCCATCCAACAAATCTTTGCTGAGAGCCTACTATGTGCAAAACACTGTTGTTGTTGATGCTATGTGCTGTCGAGTCATCTCCGACTCATAGTGACCTTATGTATAACAGAATGAAACAATGCCTGGTCCTGTGCCAGCCTCACAATCCACACTATACTTAAGCCCATCGTTTCAGCCACTGTGTCAATCTATCTTGTTGAGGTCCTTCCCCTCTTTCGTCGACCTTCCACTTTATCAAGCATGATATCCTTCTCCAGGGAATGGGCCCTTCTGACAACATGACCAAAGTAGGTGAGTAGAAGCCTGGCCATCCTCGCTTCCAAGGAGTATTCCAGCTGCACTTCTTCCAAGACAAACTTGTTAGTTCTTTTAGCAATCATGGTACTTTCAGCATTCTTCGCCAACACCACAACTCAAAAGCATCAACTCTTCCTTGGTCTTCTTTATTCACCATCTAGCTCTCACATGCGTGTTGTTGTTTTGTGCCACAGGAGGTGATTGAAAATATCATGGCGTGGGTTGGAAACATCTTGGTCTTCAAGGAGATATATTTGCTTTTCAGCACTTGAAAGAAGTCTTTTGCAACAGATTTGCCCAATGCAACATGTCTTTTGATGTCTTGACTGCTGCTTCCATTGGCTTTGATTGTAGATCCAAGTAATATGAAGTCTTTGACAACTACAATCATTACTCCATTTGTCATGATGCTGCTTATTGCTCTGGTTGTGAGGATTTCTGTTTTCTTTATATTGAGGTGTAATCCATACTGTAGACTGCAGTCTTTAATCTTCATCAGTAAGTGCTCCAAGTCATCCTCACTTTCAGTAAGCAATGTTGTGTCATCTGCATATTTCTGGATGTTAATGACCCTTCCTCCAATCCTGATGTCATATTCTTTTTCATATGGTCCAGGTTCTAGGATTATTTGCTCAGCATACAGATAGAATAAGTATGGTGAAAGGATACAACCCTGACACACTCCCTTCTTGATTTTAAACCATGCAGTGTTCCCTTGTTCTGTGTGAATGACAGCCTCCTGGTCTATGCACAGGTTCCTCATGAGTACAATTAAGTGTTCTGAAATTCCCATTCTTCTCCAAGTTATGCATAATTTATTATGATCCACATAATCAAATGTTTTTGCATAGTCATTAAAACACAAGTAAATATCTTTCTGATATTCTTTACATTGAGCCAAGATCCATCTGACATCAGCAATGATGTCCCTCGTTCCACATCCTCTTCTGAATCCAACTTGCATTTCTGGAAGTTCTCTGTCAATATACTGCTGCAACCATTTTGAATTATCTTCAGTAAGATTTTACTTGCATGTGATATTAATGATATCGCTCAGTAATTTCCACATTCTGTGGGATCACCTTTCTTTGGAATGGGTACAAATATGGATCTCCTCCACTCAGTTGGGCAGGTAGCTGTCTTTCAAATCTCTTGGCATAGCTGAGTGAGTGGCTCCAGTGGGTCATCTGTTGAAACATCTCAATGGGTATTCTGCCAATTCCCAGAGCCTTGTTTTTGGGCCAATTCCTTCAGTGCAGCTTTGACTCCTTCTTCAGTACCATTGGTTCTTGATCATATGCCACCTCCTGAAATGGGTGATCACCTAGCAGTTCTTTTTGGTATAGTGATTCTGTGTATTCCATCCATCTTCTTTTGATGGTTCCTGCATCACTCAACATATTACCCATGGAATTTTTCAATCTTGCAATCTGAGGTTTAAATTTTTTCCTCATTTCTTTCAGCTTGAGAAATGCCAAGTGTGTTCTTCTCTTTTGGTTTTCTAACTTGAACTCTTTGCACATTTCATTATAATAATTGACTTTGTCTTCTTGAGCTGTTCTTTGAAATCTTCTGTTCAGCTCTTTTATCCAGTCGATTCTTCCATTTGCTTTAGCTACTCTCTGTTCAAGAACAAGTTTCAAAGTCTCTTCTGACATCCATTTTGGCTTTTCTTCTTTTCTTGTCTTTTTAACGACCTTTTGCTTTTTTCATGGATGATGTTCTTGATGTCATCCCACAATTCTTCTGGCTTTTGGTCACTGGTGTTCAATGCATCAAATCTATTCTTTAGATGGTCTCTAAATTCAGGAGGGATATAATCAAGGTCATATTTTGGCACTCATAGATTTGTTTTAATTGTCTTCATTTTCAACTTGAACTTGCCTATGAGCAGTTGATGGTTTGTTTCACAATCAGCTCCTGGCCTTGTTTTGGCTGAAGATATTGAGCTTTTCCATTGCCTCTTACCACAGATATAGTCAATCTGATTCCTGTGTTCTCCATTTGGCAAAGTTCACGTGTATAGCCACTGTTTGTTTTTTGAGAAAAGATATTTGCAATGAATAGGTCATTGGTCTTGCAAAATTCTATCATACCCTCTCCAGTGTCATTCATATCACTAAGGTCATATTTTCCAACTACCAGTGATTTTTCTTTATTTCCAACTTTTGCATTCCAATCACCAGTGATAATTAACACATCTTGATTGCACATTTGGTTGATTTCAGACTGCAGAAGTTGGTAAAAATCTTCGATTTCTTCATCTTTGGCTTTGATGGTTGGTGCATATATTTGAATAATAGTAATACTAACTGGTCTTTCTTGTAAGTGTATGGATAGTATCCTATCACTGACAGCACTGTATTTCAGGATAGATCTTGAAACACTCTTTGTGACAATGAATGCCATGCTATTCCTCTTCAACTTGTCATTCCCAGCATAGTAGATCATATGGTTGTCTGATTCAAAATACTGGTCCATTTCAGCTCACTAATATCTAGGATATCGATCTCTATGCATTCCATTTTATTTTTGACAACTTCCAATTTTCTTTTTACATTCCATGTTCTGATTATTAATAGATGTTTGCAAATGTTTCTTCTCATTTTGAGTTGTGCCACATCAGTCAATGGAGATCCTGAAAACTTTATCCATATCATTAACGTCGGCCCTCTTCTGAGGAGCCAGCTCTTCCCCAGTCAAATTTTGAGTCCCTTCCAACCTGATGGGCTTATCTTCTGGCACTATATCAGACAATGTTTCAGGGCTAGTCATAAAGTTTTTCAGTAATATATCAGACAGGGTTTCACTGCTATTCTTAAGGTTTTCGCTGGCCAATTTTTTAAGAAGTGGATGGCTTCTTCCTTCCGAATCTGTCTTAGTCTGTAAGGTCTGCTGAAACCTGTCTACCATGGGTAACCCTGCTGGCATTTGAAACACCGTGGCATAGCTTCCAGCCTCACAGCAACACACAAGCCACCACAGGATGACAAACTGACAGACAAGTTCATCTCCCTTAGCTGTTCCAAACTGCTCCATTCCTGCTTCCTGGCTTGCCCTACCTGGTCTGGCCCTCCAAAAGCTGTTCGCTGCTGCTTGCTGGACTTTCCTAAATATTCTGGCCTCCAAAAGCTATCTGCTGCCACTTCCTGGCCTGCTCTACCTGTTCTGGCCCTCCAAAAGCATTGTTCTAGGCACTGGGAATACACCAGTAAAGAGCAGACATACCTCTGTCCTCACATTGCTTATAAATATAGGGACACCAACAAGAATTATACAAAAGGTAACAGAAGAGCATGTATAACTATTTAGACAAGGAAATGATACAATTTTATAAAGCAAAATTCTGAAAAGTCCTAAGATAAGATTTTGGTGAATTTATCAACAGTCATTTATTGTTCCCCTACTCTCAAAACTGTTTGAGTGTTTGCTTAAGGAATAAATGTGAAGAAATCAGTAACTCATACAGTAGCAAACCATTAGTAGTGCACTTACACTACTAAAATAAATGGAAAGTATTTTATTATTTTATTTTTAATAATACTTACATAGCAAGAGCAGAAGGGCCAAAATGATTAGCGCAATTGCTGCAGGTCCCAAGCCAACACTGGAGTCACGCAGTGCTTCCACACAGCCACTGCCATCCAGGCACTTACAGACACTGAGTTTAAGGATCTGGTTTTCAGGGCAACTGAAGCCCTGCACATCTTTAATCAGGAATTGGATTTCACTTTGCCCAAGCTTTCGTTCACTCTGTTGCAGCAATACACTGGTACCTGTAAGGATGAGGGGCAAAAGGAAACAAAAATGAGTGATTACCAAGGAAGGGGTGAAACTAAATTACAGAAACCTTCTTTAATTGCTAGTCATATGCATATTTTTTCTTTCTTGTCTATTGGATTCACACTGTCTGCCTGTTAAATTAGTCCATAAACCCCAAGTACACAGTTTAAAGAATCACATTTGGATATCTTAATTGTATGAGGATTAATTTTCACAAATGTGTGCTATCTACCAAATGGTAGGGACTGTCCTATGCAACAGGAATACAATAAAAAAAAAATCAAGAATTCATCAAGCTCTAACATTTTTATCTTTAGACAGAAAATTATTTATCTGGAGAAGCAGCATGGCATAAAGGAGAGAAGACTGAGAGCCAGATGGCTTGGATTCAAATCCTGACTCCAGCCCTTACTAGCTTTGACCTTGGGAAAGTTAGTAAAACTCTCTATGCCTTCATTTCCTTATCTGTACAATACTGACAATAGTAGTAGCAAACTTTTAGGGTGTGGGGTCACCATGAGTCAGAGAGAACTCAATAGGAACCATTGTTATTTATTTTTTTAATGTTCATAAAGTGTCTGACATTTTCTAAATATCACATTTGTTAGATAAAATAAATGCGTTTTGCAATCCCAGTAAGTTCAAAGATGATTAGAGTTCAATGCCAACTCAGCCAAAAGAAAGGCAAACTCCAATCAAGACTTGAGCCTAGGGGGAAGCTCCCTGTGAGTACTGTGACTGAGGATACCAACACCTTTCGAGTTTTGAAGCATGTGGTTTAATTACCAGGGAAGAGTGTGTTGTGGATAAGTCTTCTGGATGTATGTCACCCCAGAGCTCCTGCTGCTGAAAACCTGACCTAAGGAATCTCCATGATACTAACTGTCTGCCTTGATGGGGAGTTAATGTCAGTTAACTGAGGGCTTAACTGTCTTTTTTGAGTGAGCATATAAACCCTAAGACAATTCAGAATTGAGTATAAGGAATATTTAAACAAATTAAGGACATGGTTTTAATATTTTTGTGTTAGAAGGAATCTATATATATTTTTTTCTATACTTATTCTGAAGAAAATTACTCTTATTTGTGAGACAATTTTGTAACTTCAATTTTAAATGTGTAATTGTGTAACTGATTTAGACTTGTGGTTTTAGGTTGAAATATCAAAGGTTTGTGCAGTGCTGGAACACTAAAGAGAATTTCAGTTTCCATAAATTTTAACTTACTGGCATTTTAGAGCATAAGGCTCATAAGATGATTTTACTGATTAATTCAGATGGTTGGAATGCATAAAAAAGAAGTAAAGTACGGTAAATTTACAAATGAAGTTTGAAATGTCAAAGGTGTTTAATTTGTGAATTGGACCAAATATTGTTCAACGCCTCTTAACTAAAAATCTGCTTGACTTAAAAGAAGAAAGCTGTAAGTTAAGAAAGACTTGGGTTTTAAATTCGAAATTTTGCTGGAATAAACACTAATTGTTTAAAGTGTAAGTCATTTTCGGGTAGACTTTTCTGAATATAAAAACCACTCCAAGGGATGTGCAAAAGCTCACATCGACAGGAGGCAGCCTGGCAAGGGGACCAAACAGATCATTTCAAATTCCGTCCCCACCACTTACTAGCCTTGTGACTTTGAACAAGTTATTTTACAGAAGCCATGGTTTCCTTTGTTGCCATCAGGGTGATACTGAGTAAGGATTAAATGAGCTCATGCACATAAAGGGCTAGGACAGGGAGTAACCAATAAATGAAATTACTATGACCATACTTCAGGCTTTTCAGGACGCACCTGCTAAGGCTGTTGTGCTTAGAAAGATAAGTTACTTTTCCACTTAAGAGACAAAACAGCGTCTTCAAGAGCTATTTGGAGGACACTCATTGATCTTGAAGACATTAGATTATTTTTCCTTTCCTCCTTTTCTGTTACTTCAGATGAGGTATTTATTACAGGCAGATAAAAGGTATTATGTCTGCAGGTTCAGAACCTCATTTTAATAAACTTTTAAAAAGGATAAGGAGCTCTGGTTATACTGGGAATATAATTTATAAGAAGAAGTAGCCTATTTTGTAAAGATTTTAGATATCTATCATGATTAATAAGAGCTCTGGTGGTATAGTGGGTAAAGCATTTGGCTGCTAACCAGAAGGTCAGTGGTTCAAACCCACCAACTACTCTGTGGGAGGAAGATGGGGGTTGCTATGCATGGGAATCGACTTGATGGCAGTGGGTTTAGTTTTTGGTTTATGACGACTAATATTTAGATTTTAATGCAACCCAGTGCTTTTGCTTACTTTCTTGCTGTACTATTTTCCATTTTTCTGCCATCCCAGGTGGTTTATCAATGACAGAGAAACTGAAAGGCCCACTGTTCTGGTGTCCATCCAGGTCCTCAGCAGTAACATTCACATAGGGTGCCTCATCACAGACCCTTTGCACTGGATTCACCAGTCGGGGACAATTGTCATTGATGTCTTCAACTGTGACAACAACGGTGCCAGTGATGGTTTTTCTAGGGTAGTCTGGGAACAAAACAAAACAAAACAGGTATGTTCTGGTAATATTGCTGACAATGGACATAGCTTGAATATGGTGAGGAGACGGTACTAACAAACTAGGATATGGCCTATACATGTTTTCATAGACCAAGTAATGTTTTCTAATCAACTAGATAAATCGAAATGTGAAAGTTTATTACACAAGATCCAAAGAAAGATCTCAGATGCTGAAAAATAAAATCTAAATACATATAACCAAGAAAAATACCTATTTTACAACTTACCTTCTGATATAGCCAAAATCTTTGCAGTGTATGTACCATTTCTGACATATCTGGATTCAAAATCAGGAATTTTTACAAGTTTTATTTCAGATGTAACAGAATCAATAGAGATCCAATTGTCTCTGTCTTCCAATTTTGCATATCTGTTATGAAACAAGCAGAAAATTAATTCTGAATTCTGGATAAATGGGGACTCATGAGCATATTTAGGATCTACAACTCTTCCAGATTTAATTTTTGCCTCTTTTTGTTCTTGTTAATTTGGAAAGTTTTAATTTCTTAAAGACATCCTGAAAGCCTCTCTTCTTTACAGCATTTCAGTCCTACTTTGGTGCTTTCCTCGGTTGTGTAACATACCAAAGTTATCTAGGCGATCACTTAGCCTACCAAACCAGGGTCTTCAAGTTCCTCTGCAGTCTCTTCTACAGCTTTTGATCTAGTCTCCCGGAAATTTGGTGGCCTTTGAAGAATAACTGACTTACATGACAAGAACTGGTAGAGAAAACTTGTCTTACATTCTATTATTTGTTGGGGATGTTATCAGTATATTAATATCAACTTTAAAAATGAGTGATTACCTTACAAATGAACATCTAAAATTTTGGAATATTGTTGGTTTTTATTTTCAGTTGGTTTCTTTAAACTAGAATTGGTTAAAAGCGAAAATGATGCTGATAAAGTGATTTTTGCCTCTATTCCCTTAAAGAAAGGAGTGTTAGAGAAGAAAAAGAGAGCTATAGGAAGGCAAGAACATTCAGACTATGGTTTAAGAAATGCAATTAAATACTATTGAGTACAAAATATAACCAAATACAAATACAAACCAAACATGTATAAGTTGGTTCAATCAATCAAACTGATAAATTATCTTCTATGAAGTGTTGTGAAGGCACACAGGAAAAAGTGACTAATTTATAACAATATTTACATATAACACTATTTTTAAAAATTCCAATTATTCAAACTAATTTATTCTAACTTTTAACGTTTCTACCAGTAAGTGATAATGTATTTGGATTTTCACTCATCTTCCAAATTCACGTCTGGAATTTTAAAGCTTCAACGTAGTTGTTGTCAATAGTTTCCCACACTCATACTTATAAAAAAGCAGTGTCCTAGTAATAAAAGTCCATTCCACAAGAAGGTATTTTGTGTGATCTCATTTAAAGAATTTTCTAACTGTTCTCCGTTTTGAAAATCAGACATCATTTAAAGAAGAATTGTTGTTGTTGTTGTTAAGTGCCGTTGAGTCGTTTCTGACCCATAGCGACCCCATGCACAGCAGAACGAAACACTGCCCGATCCCGCGCCAGCCCCACAATCCCTGCTATACTTGAGCCCATCATCACAGTCACCGTATCAATCCATCTCCTTGAAGGCCTCCCCCTCTTTCGTCGACCTTCCACCCTACCAAGCATGACATCCTTCTCCAGGGAATGGTCCCTTCTTACAACATGACCAAAATAGGTGAGACGAAGTCTGGCCATTCTTGCTTCCAAGGAGCATTCTGGCTGCACTTCCTCCAGGACAGATCTGTTAGTTCTTTTAGCAGTCCATGGTACTTTCAGCATTCTTCGTCAGTACCACAACTCAAAAGCATCAACTCTTCTTCGGTCTTCTTTATTCATTGTCCAGCTCTCACACGCATACCAGGCGATTGGAAATATCATGAAGGATGGTAGGCCACAAATATCCATTAACAACTGACGCAGATCAGTAAAACAGTCAATTTTTCCCAAGTTATGATTCTTCTGCTGTCTTCCTCAGCATTTCAAAACAGCAACCACTAAGTAGTCAGGTGAAGATTTGGAGATAACTTAGCTGAGCTATGCCTCAGATTCCTTGTCTCTAAAACGGTAGGTTTGAATTTGCTCTTTAAGATCTTTCTCATGGTAAAGTTCTGTAAGTTATGCTGACAACTAAAACATTTTTCCGAAGCATGGTTTATTATTCCTCCAGGCAGGACACGTAATTTTATTTTTTAACTTTTTATTGTGATTTGGGTGATATTTTACAAGGTGGATTTGTTTTACATTCAACAGTTCATACCTATTTTGGTTTATGACACTGATTACAATCCCCACAATGTAACAGCTCTCTTCCCACTTCCTTTCTGTGGTTACCCCTTCCCTGTGTCCTTCTTAGCTGTGCATTCCTGCCTCCCTAGCTTTCTGCCTGTGGAAATGCTGCCCTTCTTGTCTCTCATGGTTGATTGTTCTAAGGAGTGCATCTCCTCGGTGTAGTTCTTCCACTTGTAGGCCTGTCTATTGTTTGTGAGAGTTAAGCTACAGAAGTGAGTCCAACTGCAGGCCTGAAGGGTGACTAGGGGCCACAGTCTTAGAGGTTTCACCAGTCTCTATTCAACCAGTAATCCTGGTCTTGATGATTTTGAATTTTGTTCCACATTTTTTTCCCCCTCCTTCTATCTAGGATATTTGGAAGGAAGACTGGGCAATCTACTTCCATAGAGATAGAGCCTCGGAAACCCAAGGAGAGTTTGCTATGAGTCAGATTCAACTTGATGGCATTGACTTTGGTTTTAGTTATCTGTTGTTGTTGTTATTTGCCATCGAGTTGGCCCCGACTCATAGCGACCCCTCCTTGGGTTTCCGAGGCAGTATCACTACAGAAGTAGGATCGCCCAACCTTCCTTCTGAGGAGTGGCTGGTGGGGTTGAACCACCAGCCTTCTGGTTAGCAGTCAAGTGCCTTAGGCACTATGCTACCAGAGCTCCTTTTAGTTATCTAGGATATTATTATTAAGGCAGGGGCTTGAGGTAGGCAGGCAGCAGGCTTGAAGGCTGCTTTTTGCTTGGGGGTGGCTCTTTATTAAGGCAGGGAGGAGCCTGAGGTAGACGGGCTGGGGGATTGGAGGCTGTTTTTTGCTTGGAGGTGGCCCTATTTTAAAGTTGTTGCCCGATGTAGGAGGGTACAGAAGGGTTAAGAACAACTAAGGGAGACAAACTTGTCTGTCAGTTTGTTGTCCTGTGGTGGCTTAGGGATTGCTGTGAGGCTGGTGGCTATGCCACTGGTGTTGCAAAATGCCAGCAGGGATACCCATGGTGGACAGGTTTCAGCAGAGCTTCTGGCTTAAGACAGACTCAGAAGAAGGAAGAGGTCCTCCACTTCTCAAAGAATTGGTCTATGAAAACCTTATGAATAGCAGTCAAACACTGTCTGATTATTACTGGGAATTTTTATGAACAGCCCTGAAAGATTGTCTGATATAGTGCCGGAAGACAAGCCTGTCAGGTTGGAAGGCACTCAAAATTTGACTGGAGAAAGGCTGACTCCTCAAAGTAGAGATGACCTTAATGGTATGGATAGAGTAAAGCTTTTGGGACCTCCATTGGTTCATGTGGCACGACTCAAAATAAGCAGAAACAGATGCAAACATCCATTAATAATTGGAATGTGAAATGTACAAAGTATGAATCTAGGAAAACTGGAAGTTGTCAAAAATGAAATGGAATGTATAAAGATTGATATGCTAGGCATTAGTGAGCTAAAATGGACTGGTTTTGGCCATTTTGAATCAGACAACCATATGATCCACCATGCCAAGAATGACAAATTGAAGTGGAATGGTGTTGCATTCATCATCACAAAGAGTGTTTCAAAATCTGTACTGAAGTTCAATGCTGCCAATGATAGGATAATATCCATATGTCTATAAGGAAGACCAGTTAATACTACTATTATTCAAATCTATGCACCAACCACCAAAACCAAAGATGAGGAAATTGAAGATTTCTACCAACTTCTGCAGTCTGAAATTGACTGAACATGCAATCAAGATGTGTTGATTATCACTGGTGACTGGAATGCAAAAGTTGGAAACAAAGAAGAGTTACCAGTAATTGGAAAATATGGCCTTGGTGATAGAAATAACACTGGAGATCGCATGATAGAATTTTGTGAGACCAACGACTTATTCATTGCAAATACCTTTTTTCAACAATATAAATGACAACTACACACATGGACTTCACCATATGGAATATATAGGAATCAGACTGACTACATCTGTGGCAAGAGGTGATAGAGAAGTTCAATATTTTCAGCCAAAACAAGGCCAGGAGCTGACTGTGGAACAGACCATCAACTGCTCATATGCATGTTCAAGTTGAAGCTGAACCCAATTAAAATAAGTCCATGAAAGCCAAAATATGACCTTGATTTCATTCCTCCTAGTGCCTAAAAGCACTTGACTGCTTACCAGGAGGCTGGTGGTTCAAACCTACCAGCCACTCCTTGGAAGGAAGATGGGGCAATATACTTCTGTAATGATATCACCTCAGAAACCTAAGGAGGGGTCACTATGAATACCGACTTGACAGCACATAACAGCAACATAACCCTCCTAAATTTAGAGACAATTTAAAAAATAAATCTGATGCACTGAACACCAAAGACTGAAAACCAGGGGAACTGTGGGATGACAATAAGAACATCATCCATGAAGAAAGTAAGAAGTCATTAAAAAGAGGAGAAAGGAAGAAAAGACCAAAAGGGATGTCAGAAGAGACTCTGAAACTCACCCTTGAGCAGAGAGTAGCTAAAGCAGATGGAAGAAATGACAAGATAAAAGAGCTGAACAGAAGATTTCAAAGAGGAGCTCGAGAAGACAAAGCCAATTACTATAATGGAATGTGCAAAGACCTGGAGTTAGAAAACCAAAGAGAAGAACATGCTCTGCATTTCTCAAGCTGAAAGAGCTGAGGCCAAAATTTAAGCCTCGAGTTGCAATATTAAAAGATTCTAAGGGCAAAATATTGAATGATACAGGAAGCATCAAAAGAAGATGGAAGGAATACACAGAGTCACTGTACCAAAAAGACCTGGTTGATCTTCATCCATTTCAGGAGGTGGCATGTGATCAAGAACCAACAGTTTTGAAGGAAGTAGTCAAAGCTGCATTGAAGGAACTGGCAAAGAACAAGGCTCCGGTAATTGACAGAACACCCATTGAGATGTTTCAACAGATGCCCTGCTAGAGGCACTCACTCAGTTATGCCAAGAGATTTGGAAGATAGCTACTTGGCCAACTGACTGGAAGAGATCCATATTTGTACCCATTCTAAAGAAAGGTGATCCTACAGAATTTGGAAATTATCAAACAATATCATTAATATTGCATGCAA